GAGCAGGGAGCCCGATGCGGGACTCGATCCCGGGACTCCAGGATCATGACCTGAGCCGAAGGCAGTCGCTTAACCAACTGAGCCACCCAGGCGCCCTAGTGTTAGTCTTTTAGAGTCTTCCTGAGAAAAGCATTGATACTGTTGAGTAAGTGAGCGAACTGTGTGTGCATAAAGTCTGGAAAGGAGAAGAGGAATGGTGATTAATGGAATAAAGGGTATGTAAATGACTTTTCAGATTCAATGAAGAGGGATGGGAGATTAAGAGCTCAGATACCAGTGTCCTTTCTCTCAACTCTGCTGCTGTCACTGAACCAGCAATGACAGTGGAAGTTCTCTGTATTCTGTATTCTCTCAGTATACACAAAGATCTGAATATGAGAAATAGAAAGAGAAGAGAGATTGTAACTTGCAGATAATGGCCTCAGTATAGTCTCAAATCCTTTGTGGATGCAGAGAAACTCGGAGAGTTAGAGTCATGGAGCATTGTTCAAGACACAGTGTAGCACAAGCATCTGCTGAGATGAGGGACCTCAAAAGTAGATTTTACGAGCCTCAGTTTTGGCTAATTAGTATGAGGAAGTTCATGTATTTACATCCTAGATATATACTATGTCACAAGAAGATAGTGTGTGTTGTACATATTCTACTGTGTATCATGTTAAAAGGCATATATCTCCCTTAATACAACACACACACACACACACACCCCACTGGGTCAGAACACAGAATGTTAGAGCTGAAGCACAGTTAACTCCATGTTGTGAATAGCACACATTTTCCTTGGATGCAAATAAGAATAGTGAAAGGTGCATGCCAAAGGGTCTAGCTCTAATGCCCACATGGTGGGCGTTCTATGTCTGTGAAGTATGAGTTTCATAGGCAGTCATAGGCAGTGTATCATGAAGTGTGATGGTGACAGGATTGGTCCTTTGTGTATAGGCAGGAGCTTTGAAGAGTTGTTCCAACTGTGACAGGTGGGAGATATTTGCCAAGGTTGGATTCCTCTGTCATACTCATATAGGATTGTATTCCTTTCTTTTGAAGTACTTATTTGTTTTGTACAGACAGACATTTGTTAGTTGTTTATATAATGCCTGTTTCCCCCACTGGACTCTTATCTTCTGAAAACTAAGGCCATGTCTCTTTTACTCAGCATCATATCCCTATGTTCCCATAGAACATATCAGCCTTTCTCAAATTTTCCTCATCTAAACCATGGAAAACAAAATTATTTGAGGGGCTATTTTCTTACTTCTCTTAAGGATGGTACATAACTAGTAGCATTCTAGATGCATAGGGGAGAAATTAATGCCTTATGTAAAATTGATACTTTAGGATATTAGGGCTTACTTCTTATGGAAACTTGGTTGAGAAAGGCTGGGAGGTACTTTGAATTAAGATGTGGGTGAGGGTGAGGGAGAGATGACTCCCCCAAATAGTACTTTCCAGTAGTAGGGTGAATAAATGTTGGTTAGCTAAAAAACAACAGATGTCCACTAATCCTCAATAAATATTTACCAAATGAATGAGTGAGTGGGTACTCAGGCCTTTTAGCTCAGGCCACTCTTCTCTCTCAGGCTGATGAAAAACCAAAGAATGATGTGATTGTATTGAGTGACTGGCCTAAGACTCTATACCAGGAGCCTCACCATCCCCAGAGCAAGCCTTTCATCTCTTTCTATGCCATCGATGTCAACTATTTTGTGTCCTTAAACTGGGTGGAACCACATTCAAAACAAATACAGGTAAAGCTACCTCATTTTTTTTCCTTCTTAATTCACTTTACAAGCATCATACCTCAACTGCCCTCATATCAGAATGATGAGATTGATTCTGAGTTAGCTCATTTTAATATCCATCTCCATAACCCAGTCTGACCTGGATGCAGTGATCTTTTTTCACCTCTAGTCATCAGGTCCAGAGAATTCATATTCCCCAGAAAGCAGACTGAAGGCCAAAGAAAGAGCCTTAATCATTGTGTTTCTATTACATACCCGAATCCCAGTACCAGGAAACTCCCCAAATCAAGCTGTTCAGTCTTTCCTTAGTCTTACAGGGGGAACAGGTATCTAAACATTCAACCCTTCCTACCCCTCACTCTTGGGAGATAATCTGCCTCCATGGTCAGGTTTTCATTTCTCATCCTCTTCCAGGCAGTACTTTGGGTACAGAAGAAAGATACAGAAATGGGAGGAATGATAGAGAAGATGAAGTTTCCTGTGATGGATCAAGTGCCACCCATTGAAGCAATGGTCCACACAGGTTCCTACCACATGTTAATTGCTTACTGTGGTGACATGCGCCTGCGGCTCTTCGGAGATCACCATCAAGCATTCATATCTCTGGGCACAGTGCCCTGTCGTTTCTCCATCAGCTGCCTCTGCTATGACTCAGAAGCTGACATACTGCTCTCTGGTACCCTGGGGGCTGTGGTTACCTGGCTTATCTTACCAAACGGCAGGGGCCTCCAGATGGCACAAACAGTGCTCATGTCTGATCATGAGTTTGTACAGGGCTTTTCCCTGAACAGCCCCCAGGGCTCCCTCCTGGCTCTTTGTGAGAATAAGGTGAGGGTCTTCACCCACCAGGGTCAGGGCCAGCTGAAAGAGGTAAAAAAGTTCACTCCCACAGCCAGTGGCTCTTCTATCACCTGCTCCTTCACTTGTGTCTCTCAGGGCTATTTCTATGCTGGAAACAAGGATGGAGAGATCCATGCTTGGGGTCTAGACCAGGGTAACTTCCTCCACAGCTTCCAAGCCCATTCTTCATCAGTGATATGTGTTTACAGCCGGCCAGAGACCTACACCTTACTAACAGCAGGCCGAGAAGGCATTATAAGGGAATGGAATCTTGCCTTTGGGAACTTGCTGCGGCAGCTGGATATTGATGAGGATTTGCAGCAACTGCAGTTTATTGATAACACCACTTTTTTCTGCCAGACTACCCACACTTTCTCATTGCACCACCTACCATATTTTTATAGCCTCTTCAATGTCTGTGGTTCTGCTCCTGAGCAGGTGCAGCGGGTCTGCTGTGGCCGTAATTGGACTCGGATCCTGTGTGCTACTAAGGATGGTTTATTGCGCTTCTTGTCTCCAGTAACAGGAGATCTCCTGGTTATCACCTGGCCTCTACTTGTCATGGATAAGGCCGTAGCTTGGGCCTATGACTCAGACAAAGAAGAGCTCTTTGTGGCAACAGGCAGTTCAGAGGTGCTGGTGTTTGATGCAACGCGCTCTCCTTGCATGGCCAAGTATCTGGTATGCACTTCAGTAAACTCTGGGGATAAAGTAAGGTGCCTGGCCTATGGGCAGTCCCATTTGGGTATGGGCCTAGTAGGATTGATGTTCTGTGGGCATGACAGTGGCATTGTGAGAATCCTCTCCCACTATAGCTGTGCTCGAATAGAAAAGACTGTTCACTCTGGGGCAGTTTTGGCACTGTCTACCCTAGAAGGTCCTCAGGAAATCTCCTTACTCTGTTCCTATGGCATGGATAATACTATACACCTGACAGAAGCTGTGCTTCAGAAAAACAAGGTAATCCTGCAGCCCATAAGCAAAATTCTCTGTGCTTGCCCCCTAACACACGTGATCCTCTTGCCAGGTTCTGTGGGTGCCATCACTGAGAACCACTGCTGGCGTCTCTGGCACTACCAAGATTTTCTGAAATCTTCAGAATCAAAACAAAGGTCTGTTAGAGACAAAGAGACAAAATGCCTGCACCAGTGTGACATCACTTCATTTGATGTCTGCTCTTCCCTGAAACTTTTTGTCACAGGGGGCACTGATGGCTCAGTCCGGATCTGGGATTTCCATGGTAGACTCATAACTGAGTTGGATTCAGCATTGCATTTTGGCCCACTCTGCTTTGCCAATAATCGGGGTGACCTGCTTTTGACTTTCAACCAGAGTCTTTACCTGGTATCCTGCTTAAAATTGCTCCCTCCTGCTCAGCTGATTCACCTAGCTATCCTAAGCAGTGCAGACGATATACAAGAAGTCCCTAAACCCTTCCTGCCTAGCTTCTTCTTTTCTTTTGAAAGAGTATTTGTACCCAAATTTGTCTACCTTGGACAAGGGCTGCAGGAATTACAGGGACTAGAGGCCCTTGTTAACAAACGGGTCATTGCCTTTGACAATACTGTGCCGCATGTTGTAGAGGAAGAGAGACATATGTCCACTCTGATTCATGTGGAACCCAAATCACACTTTTGGGAGGATAAGAATATTGCTTTTGACCCCAAGCATAATCATCCCCGACACTTGGTTCCTGCTCAGTTACAGCTTGCTGGCTGGGATGGATTGAACCCCTACCATATATTATGTTGCTTCTTTGGTAAAGGGCGGCAATGGCCCTTTGCTCCTGATGGCTACATCCCCAACTCAGTTATCCGTGCCCGCCTTTGGCCTGATGGCACCCCAATCTTCTTACGCTATGATCTGTACCAAGATAAAGACTGGGACATGACCAAACTCATCAGATGCCAGACACTGTCACCTATGCCTGTACTAGAAGAGAACATCTCAATGAGAAGAGAGAGGGATAAATCCAAGAAGTGGAAACGAACTTTCTATGATGTTCTAGTAAGCATAATGAACCGAAATTGGACAGGAAGAAAATTTGATGAAGGAATTATAAATAATTTAATCGAGGCCATCCTCAACCTCACAATTTACTGTTCTATAGATCAATACAAGACATATATTAGTGTCCTGGCACAAATTTTTGCCACTTACCAGGTATCTCCAAGATTGTGCTCTGAGGCTGCCTGTCGCCTAATGGAAGATACAGTTCATCCCAATCCATGCATCCGTGAGCTAGCCTGGGAGGGGTTGGAGAGGCTAGGTGTCCTGAGCCATCTCTTTGCTGTGCCACTGGCTATGGGATTGATGGACAGTGATGAAAATGTGAGGGCTAAGGCCTTATACCTTATGATAAGAGTCACAGGCATCCAAACTAAGACTATGCTGGTAGGCCTGCTGAAGAAACGAGACACGTTCCAAGAAATGCAGTAAGTTGGGTAGTGGTTTTCCCCCTTCTGTTTCTTCTAGTTCCTAACCTTTTTCTCTTATTCTCTTTTTATACAACTTATTCCCTTTTTACACAACTCTCTTTCTATTCTTCCCCCCACACACACTATGTTCTTTTTTTTCTATTTGCTTTTTTTCTCCGGTGCCTACCCCTCTTCTTCTAACCATTGATTAGCCTGCCCTTCCGTCACTTCTTCACTTCCTTAAGACTCCTCAAGACTCAAGTCCACAAATTTTCCAACCAAAAAAGCATCTTGTATCTGGCAATTCTATTCCTTGCTATATTTGATTATTTCTTTTTACCCATCCTTTACTTCAGACTACTCTGTCCTAATGGCTACTTTATCCCTGTCTCTTCAATTGTAATTTCTCCTTCTCCTCCTCCCTGTCTCTCTCCTTTCCTTCACTCCTCCTCCTCCTCCTTCATCAAATCTTGTTTTATCACTGGCTTGGTGTCATCCTTCTTTCCTTGACTTTTGTAGGCGGGAATTTATTGGAGAAACCTCTCTGGACCAGCTGCTGGGGATCCAAGCTAAAGATATCCAGTGCCTGCTTACTCAGGTGGAGCAGCAGCTAAATGAAAACCTGACTTTGTCATATAGAGACCAACAACCTACTTTTTTTTTAGACATATCAATGGCTGGTAAACCTGAGACCCTTGTCAAACAAATAGTCATACCTGAAGAGATCACCAAACCAAAGAAAAGAAAGACATATGTTCAAGCAAAAAGAAGAGAGTTTAGTATGTTTTTGTTTTTGTTTTTAATTTTTTTTTATTCTTATGTTAATCCCCATACATTACATCATTAGTTTTAGATGAAATGTTCCATGATTCATTGTTTGTGCATAACACCCAGTGCTCCATGCAGAAGAAGAGAGTTTAGTATGTATGGGGTAATATATGGGGTATATTTGGGTCCCACCTCAGGGTACCAAAAGACAGGGTCAGTAAGGCCAGGGTATCCAAAATGATACCAGTGGGAACATAATTACATAAAGAGATTCTTTTCCACAGAAAATAACCTTCCTGGGAAAGAAACACATATACCACAACAAATACCAACGTCTTATTTCTTTAGGATATGAAAGCTGGGATAAAATGGCAAGCATTTCTGTACCATAAAGCCTCAGTCCCCTTTGCCTTTGTACCTCTTATGGCTGTTCATTGGACTAGATATTACAAAGGATATCACTCAGAACTTCTGTTTTTTCTTAACTATTTTTCTCCCAATATCTCTGCAGTTAAAAAGGACCTGAGAGTTTCCAGAAAGCTAAGACAGGCAGAGTTTATAAAATTTAGCTCTATGTTGGTGCCTTCAAAGGATGAAGATGAACAAAGAGAGGCCAGGCAATCAGAGCAGATTGACACCAGGGATGTTACCTTAGAGCCTAAACTGCGATTAAGTACTTTCAGCCCAGCCAAATCTCAAGAGGATGCTGAGTCAGAGGAGGTTGTGATGGAAGCCACAGAAGGAAGAGGCCACATGGAGGTGACAGAGGTTATGAAGGCCATAGATCAACGTGGCATGAAAGATTATGGAGAGGTGTTCCCTCAGGTGGAAAGACACGAAGGAGAAGGAGGAGGCCACATGGAGGTCACAGAGGTTATGAAGGCCATAGGTCAACGTGTAATGAAAGATTATGGAGAGGTGTTCCCTCAGGTGGAAAGACACGAAGGAGAAGGAGGA